TCTATCCTTCCTATTAGGATCCTAAGTGGTTTCCTAACTAACCATCGTCATACCCGGGGAGTGAATCCTTCTGCTTGTTGCTTGTAACATGGAGATGATGCGTAAACTCCTCAATGCTTGCCATGTAGGTAGATGAGACAAGGGTCAGCAACAGGACGGTCTGGAGAGTTACTATACTATGGTGTCGACGGACATGGGCTGTGCTACGACAAAAGACATGTGTCGTGGTTGAGCGACAGCGTGGTTGCACGGCGGCTGTGACACAGGCCCGCTGCCCGCCCGGAAGATTACGGACCCGGTTCCGACCGGCGCATAAAATGCGACAGGCCGCCCATTCGCTCTCTGACCGTCGGTTCCTATGTGCTAGGGGAGTTGTGGGAATACACACATACCTGCTTGGAGCTATACTATCACTTGCAACTATCAAGCATCCACCGGCTTTTTTTTCAGTCAGCAAGCACAATGTCTGACAATCCACAGGGCCTGACCCAGCATTTGATTGAGAATGTCCGCATAGGATTCACCCTCCTGTTCATTACCGTGGCCTTCGTTACTTGGCAGCTAGCTGTCATAATCTATAACATCTACTTCCACCCACTACGACACTTCCCTGGACCAAAGCTGTGGATTGCATCGTGCTTGGTACGCCATTACTATGCTATCATCGGCAGCTTCGACGAAAAGATTCGCGAGTTCCATCTCCAATATGGCGAAGTTGTCCGTTTCTCCCCGCACGAGCTTTCATTCCGCACCGCAGCTGCGTGGAAAGATATCTACGGCCACAATCGTGTGCAAATGCCTAAGGGTCTCTTCTACCCGCCGGATGAGACACCCAATATCTCATTCAGCAACGATGCAGACCACTCGAGATATCGAAAATCTATGTCGAATGCCTTCTCCGAGAAATGCCTTCGTCAACAAGAAGGTCTAATGAAGCAGTACATAGACGAATTGATCCACAAATTGCGCGATGTGGCGACTTCGCAAACCCCAACGAACATGGTGAAGTGGTACACTCTGGTAGGCTTCGATCTGATTGGAGACCTGGCATTTGGGAAGTCCTTCGGAGGACTGAGAGATATGACTTATCACGAATGGGTCGCTAATATCTTTCAATTCGCCAAAGCCGGTGAAGTGATTAACATGTGCCGTGACTACCCGTGGCTGCTTCACATCTTCCGCATCGTTATGAAGTTTTCATCAGACAACGACGCGAGGCAGCGACAATCGGATCATGCCAGGACCGTTTCTCTCGAACGTATTCACAATGACGACTTACATGGCAGAGGGGACTTTATGGACTCTTTGCTACAGACGGGAAAGAACCAGAATCTTCTCTCCGAAGACGAGGTCATCTCAAACGCCGGTATACTGCTCATAGCTGGCGCCGAAACTACTTCAACGGCACTTTCCGGGACCACATTTTGGCTTTTGAAGACTCCAGCCGCCCTGGCAAGGGTCACTCAGGAAGTCCGTTCCACGTTTACATCTGAAGAGGACATCAACTTCATTAGCACTTCCACAAAGCTGCCCTACTTGAACGCCTGCCTCGAGGAAGGACTGCGGCGATACCCACCAATAAGTGGCATTTTGCCTCGCTGGACGCTGAGCCCCACCAACATATCGGGATACATGGTCCCTCCAAAGGTAAGTGTCCGCACTGACCAGCAGTCGTGGAGTTTGCTGACACTTATGAGTCCCTCGTTGCAGTTCATCAATCTGCTGCCAACTGGTCTGATGCCAACTTTCATCGCCCATTGGATTTCTGTCCTGAGCGCTGGCTCCCAGAGTCTACGCTTAACCCTCAGTCTCCCTTCTACAGCGACAATCGAGAGGCCATGCAAGCATTTTCGGTTGGGCCTCGCAATTGCATTGGCCGAAATCTCGCATATAACGAGATGCGTATTATCCTAGCCAGAGTGTTGTGGAATTTCGACCTCACCCTTAGCCCCGAGTCAAGCTCATGGGATAAGCAGAAGGCTTTTGCGTTCTGGGATAAAGGGCCTCTAATAGTGAAGCTACAATTAAGGGACGAAGAGTAGGGTTAGCATCGAAGCTTAAAAAGGTTGGCAAATAGGATTACTAAATTGGGTCGCCAGATATCTTAGCGCTTACTTATTCTATTTAAGGGAGTAGTAGGTTATTTTAAAGCTCTCTCTATATATTAGGTAGAAGATTATCTAGTGGATATTAAGTAACGATCTAAGCTTTTAACTCTATTCTATTCTATATCCCTAACAGGATTAAGGTTGATTTTAACCTTAATTCTATTAGAAATAGAATAGAGTTGTGTGAGCTTCTACTAGAGGTATTATTATTATTATTCCATTTGTTACAAGTAACAAGAAGGATTCTCTCCTCAACGAAGGGACGGAGGCAAGGAGCCTATAGACGTCTACGTTAGAAGGTAATAATTAACG